CAGCAGCGCAGGGGCGTGGCCAGGTGCTGTGAGGGGCGTGGCCTGGCGCGCAGGTAGGAACCGGCGGCGGGAGAGATCTGCTGAGGACAAGAAGGCAAAGCAACTGGGACTTTGTCCTGGGCTGCTGGGGAGACACGGGAGGGCCATAAAGAGACAGGCAGGGCAGCTCTAGATGGAGAGAGACCCTCCGGGCCTGTGTGGGGACACCGTAGGGAGAAGGTCCAGGGACACGTCGGTGGAGAGGATGGTCTAAACCAGACTGGGAGGCGGCTCACCCTTCCACTCGAGGTTTACACGGCCCCTCTCTAGGTGTCCCAGCAGCCGCTGGGGGCAGGAGTTGAGCAGGAACGTCCTCTCCTTCCCGACCGCCTCAGCTTGCTGCATCCACTTCTCACTGATGGTCTGGGCCTCTGGCCAGTCCCCAGTCCAGTTCCCGTTCTTGGGGTCGAACCTCATGAATTCCTCACCATTCAGGGCAAACGTGGCGGTAGGCACCGAAACGTTGTCAGGGCCTAGTTCACAACCCAACAGGCCCTGCAGGGTGTAGGATCCTGGGGTGCCCACCCAGAGGTAAGCAGGACTCAGAAGCAAGGGGCAGCCCTCCTCCCTCAGACCCAGGAGTCCAGACCCCAGCCCTGCTCCCTCAGATCCGGGGGCCAGACCCCACCTTTTCTCCCCAGGGCTGCGAGAGCGTCCAGAAAGAGCTTCTCCTTGTTTCTCAGGTCTGTGGTCTCCTTCTCCCAATACCACGACACCTGGTTTTCCCAGACCCAAGCCCCACAGGGCTCAGCCTCAGCCCTCAGGCTGCTGTAGCTCAGGTACTGCTGGGGGCCCAGCCAACCTGACACCCAGAAGGCGGGAGTCCCCGGGGCCGGGGAGGACACAGCCGTGAGGTGGTACAGCAGGGACAGATGATTCTCTGTGGAGAGAGGCAAAGGTGAAGAGAATCCATGGGACAAGGGACTAAACTGGAGCCTGGAGAGCGGGGACAGAGAGACCAGAGACAGAGGCCCAGGGAGAGTGGCAGAGACCCCAAGGTGGGAGGAGGCAGAGACTCAGAAAGAAACAGAGTCGGGGGAGGGGGCAGAGACCCAGGGAGAGGGGGACCGGTGGCTTCCAGGCACCGAGCACCAGGAAGGGGAAAGTGGTAAACAAGGTGGAATACGGAGGGCGGCCCAGGGAGAACTCGGATTTCCCTGCCTTGGCCTCTCTTCCCGCCAGGGACCTCCTTCCTCCCTGCCTCCCCCAGTGCGGCCCAGCCCCAGCGGCCCCTCACCTGCACCCCGGGTCTGAGGAAGGAGGAAGAGCAGGAGACCGAGTGCCCAGGGCTGAGGCCAGGGCACCCCCATGCTGAGAGGGCGACCTGGGGCGGGAGGGGGCGTGTGACTCCTTGGGCCCCCCACCCCGCCCCTTCCTCCCCGGGTACCCGCGGGCAAGGCCGAGACCCGGAGCCCTGGAGGGTTTGGGGGCCTGTCCAGGATAACAACAATGCCCTCCTCCTCAATGAACTTTCACCCCCTAATTTGATCTGGTTTGGTTAATTAATTACAGAACCGGATAGCCTGAGATTCATTTTTTTGGAGATCTGCCGGTCCCCTGTTCCCTCAGACCCGGGAGCCCAGCCCTCCTCCCTCAGACCCGGGAGCCCAGGCCCCAGCCCTCCTGGGCCCTCCTCGGCCCTCCTGCTGGGCCCCATTTGCTCACTGCCGCCTGGTTCTCTTCCTGCCTGCAGTTCTGGCTGCCTCCCGTGACTGGAGACCCCAGTTCCTCTCTCACATCCTGTCCGGAGCTGGCTCCCTGACTCCCAGAAGATCCAACCCCACCCCCCAGCTGCAAGACACACCCCAGGCCCTAGGCCCAGCCTCTCTGGAAACTTTTTTTTTTTTTTTCCCTCTTTCTCCGTTGCTGCCTGTGCTTGATTTTGAGGGTGTCAGCCACTTAGCAAGCTCAGACAGCTGGGAATGAAACCCAACACTTGTAGCCTGGGCACTTATGTCCAGGGTCTTGCCAAGACTCCTGGAAAGTTCTCAGAGCCATCCATGGCACTCAGAGGGCCTTGCTTGCATGGCCAGTTGCATATTCTGAGGTCCTGCAACAAGCTCCTAGTGTGGCAGACACTCCATAGACCACTTTTTTTTTTTTTTAAGTGACTTTTTAAAAAGACATTTATTCTTAAGTTTTAGGCAGACACTATATCCTACATTTATGTGGTGCTGAGGATTGAACCTGGTGCCTCCTGCATGCTAGGTGAGCACTCTACCACTGAGCCCCAGCCCCAGCCCACCACTTTTTGTTTTGTTTTTGCTACTAGGGAATGAACCCAGAGGCACCTTACCACTAAGCCACATCCCTAGCCCTTTTTATTTTTTATTTTGAGACAGGGTCTTGCTAAGCTGCTTAGGGCCTCACTAAGTTGCTGAGGCTGCCCTCAAACTTTTGATCTTCCTGCCTCATCCTCCCTAGTTGCTGGGATTACAGGTATGGCCGTTGTGCCCAGCTTTATATCCCACTTTAGCACACCCTAGAACTCATCTAGATGTTTCGTGAGCCCTAAGAGAACATTCCTGTGGCCCCCTAAGATGCTTCATGGCCCATGAGATGGTTTCAGGATAGGCCATCATGGCCAGTACCCTGCTGTGCTGACCACTTATAACTCCATGGGTCTGGTCTTCTAATAATCTCATTCCTCTGCTTTATTTAGCACAATGAGACCTGGAGTAAGGGCCTTTAGAAGCCTTCTACCAATGTCCTGTGGAGTGGACACATCACCACCGGTTTTTTTGTTGTTGTTTTGGTACTGGGGATTAAACTCAGGGGTACTTAACCACTGAGCCACATCCCCAGCCCTCTTTATTTTTTATTTAGAGATGGGGTCTCCCTAAATTGCTTAGGACCTCATTAAGTTGCTGAGGCTGGTTTCAAACTTGAGATCCTCCTGCTTCAGCCTCCTGAGTTGCTGGGATTACAGACGTGCACCACCATGCCCGGCTCACCCCAGATGTTGGTAAATTATTTCTGGGCCCCAGTAAAATTGCAGCTGCTCTTTGCTCTAGGACCACTCTGGGTACCGTCTTCTTGCTATAGAGTTTATTCTCATCCCTTTCATGTCTGCCGAAAAGTGAGTGGGGCTCCCCAAATTCACTCTTTACTCGTCGATTTGCTCTAATACCAGATTTTTCCAGAACTTCCCAAGAAAAGACAGTTAGAAATAGAGACAAAGCCAGGTACAGTGTTACATACCCATAATCCCAGCAACTTGGGAGGCTGAGGCAGGAGGATGGTGAGTTTGAGGCCAACCTCAGCAACTTAGACCCTAAACAACTTAGCAAGACAGTCTCAAAATTAAAAGTGGGGGCAGGAGATATAACTCAGTGTTAAAGAACCCCTAAGTTCAATTCCCAGTACCAGAAAATAAACAGAGAGACAGGCCATAGGTAGGTGGATGTGTATATAGATAGAAAAATAGGTAGGGAGATGGATGTGCAGGTGGATAGACAGATGGATGATTGATTGGTAGGAAGGTAGGTAGATAGAACAGACAGACAAATAGACACAGTTGAAACCACTGTACCATGACCTACCCAGCAAGCGGCCTCTTAAAAATTCCTGGCCATCCGCTCTCCTGCCTCTCCATCTAGCTACATTGCTATTCCCTCAGTCCCTATAAGGGATGTGAGATCCTGCTAAAAAGGGCCTGGTGTCCTACCGTATGCCTCTGGTGTCCCTTTAGGTACACTGAATCTTCCTTTTATACTTCCAGAGCCCTGTCAGAACACCCGAAGCGGCTTGGCAAAATGGGGCACACCAATAATCCCAGCCACTCTGCAGGCAGAGGCAGGAAGATTCCAAATTCAAGGCCAGCCTGAGCAATTAGTGGGATCCTGTCTCAAAAAATAAAATAAAATGAAATAAAATATCAAAAGGGCTGGGGATATAGCCCAATGGTAGAGCGCCACTGGGTTCAATCCCCCTCCCCCGCCATGACAACCAGCCCTGGGCTCCCCCCAGGTTCCTCCTGTGATCCGGAGACACTGTCCGGGGCTTCCCAGTGGTTGCAGATCATCTTACTCCTCTGTCCTTGAGGTCCTGGTTTACCCATGTTTGTATACAGCTCCAGGTGTTCTGGGTCCTGATAATGTCCCATCAGCTGTCTCTTCAATACCCCTGGGAATCTACTCTAATGGCCATTGTGTCCTGTCAGTGCTCTGGAGCTGGGTGTGAGGGGACACCTGTATTCTCACTAGTTGGAAGACTGACGCAGGAGGATCACTTGAGGCCAGTGATATCTAGGCAACATAGTGAGACCCCATCTCAGAGAGAGGGAGAGAGGGAGAGGGAGAGGGAGGGAGGACCTTAGCATGGCCACACATGCAAAGTCCCTTTCACCATGTACAATCATGTAACCATGGGTTTTGGGGGATTAGGGCAGGGATGACTTTGGAGCCATTATCCAGCCCACCCCAGTCATCTAGGATGCCCTCCTTGCCCCTGCTGTAATGTCCCCATTCTGATCTGCTGTTTTTTCTGCTGGCCTGCTGGCAAAACCGGATGTTCTTCTGCTCCTTATAATGGCCTGTAGCTAAACTCTCCCAGGGTCTCCCCTAATATTCCACGTTAAGGTCCTTCCCTCCTGCCTGCCACAACAGAGAAAGGCCTGCAACCTCCTTGATGCACACTGGGTCCCCTTCCTAGGGGCATGTCCCGGGCTGTAGTAGAACACCCTTAGACAGTCACAGGGACTCTCCAGGATCCTGCTGGGATCCTGTCCCCAGGGACCCACTCTAATATAGTGGAAAGTCCTTATGGTAGCATCATCTACACAATTTGCAGAGCATAGAGCAAAATGAAAATGTGGGGCCCTTCGTTTTGAATTCAAGGAGGTTCTACCTGGGCATTGCACCAAGCATGGATCTCTTTGGGTGGACCCCAGCAACTGCGTGGTGAGCCGTCCCTGGAGCCAGCCCACCCACAGGGTGTATGTTCTATGAACAGTTCCAGGCAGCTCTGAGCTGTTACCAAGAGCCATGGGAACATCTCTCTTCCTCTGCACCTGCACAGTAGTGCCCCCCACTGGCCCCACGAGGCCATTACACCGGAGCTCTAAACCAAATCTGACCCTTCCGGGTTTCCTCTTTGAGCCTTGTTTTTTCCTCTGAAAAATGGGGAAAATAATTATGCCTGTCTTATTTGAGAGGCTTTAGGGAGTCAAAGTCTGAACCTGGGGAACATAGTAGGGCATCAGTGGTAACTGATGGCCAGGCTGCTATCAAGATCCCCAGGGGTACTGCTAGATTGGGGACCAAGCCCTGGATTCGTCTTGCTCCCTCTTGAATCCATCCCTTGGAGCCTGAATAATAAATGTTCGTAGAATGAATCAAGGCAGTAATGAATGATTCTGGCTTGGTTTGATATGCCCCTAAAATTTCTCTAGAATGCCTTTGCTTTCCTGCTAGATCGTGATAGCAGAATCTATATAACCCACAAATGATCTGTGGATCTCATTTATGTCATAGAGCCAGGACCTACTCCAGGACTTTGCCGCAGGTGGCTCAGAGCAAGGCCAAAACAGTCACAAGGCTGCTCAAACACACACGGACGCACCTGTGATCCCAGGGGCTGGGGAGGCTGAGGCAGGAGGATCACAAGTTCAAGACCAGCATTAGTAACTCAGTGAAGGCTGGGAATGTAGCTCACACTCACAGAACCCACCCTAGTTTGATCTCCCTGTCCTCTACTCAGAGATCTCAGTAAAATGATCTCAGGTCCCGACTACACAAATTATTTACTACTTTTACCTGTAGATTCAACTATCCTTGAATCAAAAGTATATTTTTTTTGGGGGAAAAAAAAACTACATCTGTATTGAACCTGTACAGATTCTAACAGATTCTTTTCTTCCCTCCTTCCCACCCTCTCCTCCTTCCTTCCTCCCTCTCTTCCTTCCTCCTCAGTCCCCTGCACATGCTGGACAAGCACTCTACCTCTGAGCTACATCCTCAGCCATATAGACTTTCTTCTCATTATTCTCTAAATGACACAGTGTAACAACTGCTTGTATAACATTTGCATTGTATTGGGTATTATAAGACATCTAGAGATGGTTTCAAGTACATAGGAGAATGTGCAAAAAGTTCTATGTAAAGAATATGCCCTTTTCTTTATTTATTTTATTTTGAGACAGTCTTGTTAAGTTACCCAGGCTGGCCTTGAACTTACCATCCTCCTGCCACAGCCTCCAGAATAGCTGGGATGACAGGCATGTGCCACTGTACCTGTCTATGCTGTTTCATATAAGGGACTTGATGGGCCAATTATAACATAACCTGGGTATTGCCACCATGTAATATCCACAGGGCCTGCTGTAAGCTTCTGAGGTCCTGCTGTAGTAACATACTATCCCAGTGGCCTCTGGGCTGAATCCAGGGCTTCACACAGTATGAAACAGCAAGAACTGCCCTGTTTCCAGTAGTGCTCCTGAAGCCTGCTGCCATTGCAAACCCAGGACCCTGCTTCAAAACCCTGCCTGGAATCTGGGCATGATGGCAAAAGTCTGGAATTCCAGCGACTTGGGAGGTTGAAGTAGGAAGATCATAAATTCAAGGCCAGCATTGGCAATTTAGCTAGACCCTGTCTCAAAATAAAAAAGGGCTGGGACCTAGCTCAGTGGTAAAGTGCACCTGGGTTCAATCCCCAATATAAACCAAAACCTGTCTGGAGGTAATCTCTCTGCAAAATGGCAGTGCAACTGGGATCTCCTGTAACCAGCGTATGAGAGAATATTGCATCATCCTGTGACATACCACCAGGTCTTGCTCTAATAGTCCCAGGATTCTACAACTAGGGCTACCTGCCAGACTCTTGTCATTCTGCTTGCTCAAAAGGACCTGGTCTTTCTGGGTGCAGTGGTGCACACCCGTAATCCCAGCGGCTTGGGAGGCTGAGGCAGAAAGATCTCAAGTTCAAAGACAGCCTCAGCAACTTAGTGAGGCCCTAAGCAACTTATGGAGACCCTGTCTCAAAAATAAAACAAAAAGAATTGGGGTTGTGGCTTAGTGGTTAAATACCCCTGGGTTCAATCCCTGGTACCAAAAAAAAGGACATGGGTTTGCTGTTGCATGGAGCCTTTCTCTGACAATAGGCTCAGGACTCTGGCATAATTATTGCCCTGAGTGTCACTAGAACTGGTTCTAGTCTGTGATCACATGAAAGCATGTAGCATCTCTCCATGGGGTGGGGAGGCAAGAACCCACTTTACAGATTGGGAAACTAAGGCTCCATGATTGGGGCAGGTCACTTGTTCAAGGTCACACCACTAGTGAGCTCAAGACCCAGCAGGCCTGAATTTTGGGGGCTCCTTCTCATGTTCAGCACTTTTGGTTTCCATCATCCTGAAGCCTAGGGGTCAAGTGCACCCAGTGAGCATGAGAACTGGACTGAACTCCATCCATCCATTCTGTGACAACACTTTTGGGGCACCTCTGATGGGGATGCAGACTCCTGCCCACCTGGAGCTCACATCCAGCAGGCAACAAGACAGCTCACTACAGGGAAATATGCAATATCAGGATTTGTATGATAAAATTAGTGAGAATGAGGCTTCACTTGTCTACACAGGACAATAAGGCAGGGCAGGGTGACCCCAGGGCTAGAGGTTCGTCCAAATAGAATTCGATTGGTGGAAATTAAAGTTGAAGCCAGAGGCAGAGAGGGAGCCTCTGCGAAGGTGGCTGGGAACAGCAGAGGAAGGGTTGATGCAGGGGCTCAGGTCACAGTGGGAGAGCAGAGGGAGGGGATGTGCTCAGGCTGTGACAAGGACCTGGGCCTGTGTCACATGATTCTGAGTAAGGCCAGTCCTTGGGTGAAAGAACTGTGGAGGGGTCCCCAGGGTCTTTATCCTTGATCTTCGCAACCCACCAGTCCCAGCAGACACAGCAGGTCTGGCTCCAGCCTGCAGTCCAGGTAACCTGATGTGATGGGGTGCCAAGGAGACGCCCCAACGACTGCTGGGAGGAAACAGAGGAGCAGGCTGTTGTTGTAAACACAGCCGCCCCACCCGGAACGGAAGCACCTGTGGCCGGAGGGGGCCGCACCTCTGAGAGGCCTCAGATTCCTCTGGGTCTCTGTCCCCACCCCTGCCCCCCTCTGGCTGCCTCGGGCCAGGCCGTCTTCTCCTTCTGGGTCTGAGGACCCCTGTGTAGGTCTGTGCCCCTGTCTCTCCTGCTGGGTCTCTCCCCACCTAGCACAGCAGGGCAGGCTCTGCAGCTTGGGCGGTGCCCCTCTGACCTGTCCCTACCCCTTCCTGCCCTCTGATGGGAGCCCACTTCCTCTGGCAGGAACCCCCGCCCTCCCCGGCTTGGGTAAAAGGCAGAAGCTGGGCCCATTGGGTGCGGCGTCCTTGGAGGCAGCAGCAACTCCTTTCCTCAAGGCCCTGTCTCCCAACCCTTGTACCAGTGCTGTGCCTTAGACCCTGGTACAGGTCTGGGGGTCAGGGACCTGTGGACCCCGGCACCAGCAGGTCCAGTGGATGAAGGCAGGGGGCAACTCAGCATCTCCCTCCGGCTGTGGCAGGTCTCTTCCTGGCCCCATCTTTGCTTTCTGCGCTGTTCTTTAGTATTTCTAAGCAGCTGTTTTACAGACCTGCTGCCTGTGCACCTGTGGGATGCTCAAAGTACAGTCTCTCCAGCTGCTTCTGTAGTCCCCTTCTGCCCTTGCAGCCTGTCCCACTGAGCCTCTGCACCTCTGCAGCAGAGGATCAAGGACGCCCTTCTCAAAGGTGGCTGTGTGGCCTTGTCTTTCCCCATTACCATTCTCCACAATTTCTACGCCTCTCCTGACTCTGAAGCTCTTCCCAGTTGGTCTCTTTACTAGGGCTTCCAGAGCCCCATTCCTGCACCTGAACCCTAGCATTGTAAAGCTGGGCTCCAGGTCAGCCCTACTTGGCCACCATCAGACCATGTACCCTGAAGCCTACTCACTGGGACTCCAAGCACAGGACTCACCCTCTCCCAGGTTTGTTTCCTCATCTCTAAGTGGGCCTGGTGTTCACCTGGGCTTGTGTGTGGTTGGGGGGAGGGCTCACAGGGCCCCTTGTTGGCTGTCAGGAAGACTGGAGGCCCAAGTGGAAGGCCAGACCCTCACAGTTCAGTGGGCCCACTAAGCCTCCACAACAGAGGGCGGCTGCTTCCCCTTTGCCTCCTCACCAAGGCCAATGAGTCCAGGCCAGATTCCCCACCCTCCCTTACTTCCTCTCCAGAGACTGGGGGATGGGAAATCGGGTACCTAACACCAAGAGGTGACAGGGACCCAAACAGGAAGGGCAGCATCTCAATTTAGGTGGCACTGTCCACATCCAGAGATAAGGGCAGCAGACAAGAGGTGTGCCCATCCTCAGCCCCAAAGGCAATCCTTCCCTCTGCTGAGGGCACAGAAATCCCAAGCCTGGACTGTGAATTACAAAATAAGTTTATTTTGCTTTGGAGGGTGGGCAGGCATCCAGTCTTAGAACTTCTGGAACTGCTTCTTGGTGCCAGCTGCCTTGGTGACCTTGAGTACATTGAAGCGCACCGTCTTGCTCAGAGGCCTGCACTCGCCAACTGTGACGATGTCACCAATCTGGACGTCCCTGTGGGAACAGGCAGGAGCATGTCCTCAGAAGAGATTACCTCAGCAGACCTCTAAAAGCAACCCTCTGTCCCCATCACCAGGTTGAAGGTGTTCCATGCTGGTTAATGTAACCCCATTCCAGCTCCCGCTGCCATTCACCCCCCCCCACACCCAGGACAGCCTGGCCTCGCTTGGTCTTGTGGGGCAGCATGCCTGTGGTCTCCATCAACTGAAATCTCCACTTCACAAAGAACAAAGGGAGGCTCCCAGGATCGGCCAGTGGCATCCCCCAGTGAATGGAGGATCCTATGGGCACCTGAGCCAAGTCCAACACTGTCAGAATCAGTGGCGACCAGCCCTCCTGCCGAGTAACCCCTGCTTTGTTTCCAAGTCATTCTTCCAGAAGACCCTCCCTTATGAGCTACTATCCCACTGCCCATCATCTCTCTCTCCACTGGTCTGGTGTCCTTCCTGCTCTAAGGTGCTCTCTGGGGGAGGACCTTACCCTTGTTGATCTCTGAACACTAAGTCTCTAACACGGGTAACACATATATAAAATATGTTCTGTGAAAAAGTACTTCAAGCCAGGTAAGGTGGCGTACACCTGTAATCCCAGGGGCTCTGGAGGCTGAGGCAGAAGAATTTTGAATTCAAAGGCAGCCT